TTTGATCTGATATGAGTATTGCTACTCCAGCTTTCTTTTGATTTCCATTTGCATGGAATATCTTTTTCCATCCCCTCACTTTCAGTCTGTATGTGTCCCCAGGTCTGAAGTGGGTCTCTTGCAGACAGCATATAGATGGGTCGTGTTTTTGTATCCATTCAGCGAGCCTGTGTCTTTTGGTTGGAGCATTTAATCCATTCACGTTTAAGGTAATTATCGATATGTATGTTCCTATTACCATTTTCTTAATTGTTTTGGGTTTGGTTTTGTAGGTCCTTTTCTTCTCTTGTGTTTCCCACTTAGAGAAGTTCCTTTAGCATTTGTTGTAGAGCTGGTTTGGTGGTGCTGAATTCTCTTAGCTTTTGCTTGTCTGTAAAGCTTTTGATTTCTCCATCGAATCTGAATGAGATCCTTGCCGGGTAGAGTAATCTTGATTGCAGGTTCTTCCCTTTCATCACTTTAAATATATTGTGCCACTCCCTTCTGGCTTGTAGAGCTTCTGCTAGAAATCAGTTGTTAACCTTATGGGAGTTCCTTGTATGTTATTTGTCATTTTTCCCTTGTTGCTTTCAATAATTTTTCTTTGTCTTTAATTTTTGTCAGTTTGATTATTATGTGTCTTGGCGTGTTTCTCCTTGGGTTTATCCTGCCTGGGACTCTCTGTGCCTCCTAGACTTGGGTGGCTACTTCCTTTCCCATGTTAGGGAAGTTTTTGACTATAATCTCTTCAAATATTTTCTCGGGTCCTTTCTCTCTCTCTTCTCCTTCTGGGACCCCTATAATGTGAATGTTGTTGCATTTAATGTTGTCCCAGAGGTCTCTTAGGCTGTCTTCATTTCTTTTCATTCTTGTTTCTTTATTCTGTTCTGTGGAAGTGAACTCTACCAATTCTGTCTTCCAGGTTACTTATCCGTTCTTCTGCCTCAGTTATTCTGCTATTGATTCCTTCTAGTGTAGTTTTCATTTCAGTTATTGTATTGTTTATCTCTGTTTGTTTGTGCTTTAATTATTCTAGGTGTTTGTTCTTTAATTCTTCTAGGTCTTTGTTAAACATTTCTTGCATCTTGTCTATCTTTGCCTCCATTCTTTTTCCGAGGTCCTGGATCATCTTCACTATCATTATTCTGAATTCTTTTTCTGGAAGGTTGCCTATCTCCACTTCATTTAGTTGTTTTACTGGAGTTTTATCTTGTTCCTTCATTTATCTTGTTCCTTCATTTAGTTGTTTTTTTGGAGTTTTATCTTGTTCCTTCATCTGGTACAACGTCCTCTGCCTTTTCATTTTGTCTATCTTTCTGTGAATGTGGTTTTCCTTCCACAGGCTGCAGAATTGTAGTTCTTCTTCAGAGACGAAGTTTTGCACTAGTGTTTTAACATCATTAAAAAAGCATGAAAGCAAACATAATTTTAATAGGTGGAGATTCTCTTCAGTTAGTAGATGTTGGTTTTTTGTCATGATGAATTTTTTAAATTTCTCACAATAAAAAGAGAGCGGAAGTAAGTGTAGCACACTGTCAGAGACATCAGAGAGGGCAGGCCGGTCCTTCTTGAGGTCCAGGTAAGGGCTGTGGCTCAGAAGGCCTACCATTTTTAGCAGGGTCATGTACCCAGGATTTGATTCCAGGGGTGCTGTCCTCCATGGCCTTTGACCTTCAGCACTTAGCATGTAATAGTTTATAGGAAAATACTTACAGCATACCACATTTACATACCTGGTCACAGATTTTACATTTTCTATATCTAGTTGTATCTAGGTGTTGTATCCTATTTTTTTTCATCATGTTGATATTTATTCTTTTTAATAAAGAATCAAGATTGAGTTCACTCATAAAGATATTTGAAGATTCTCTTTTTCTTTTTAAATTTATTTCATCTTTTGTTTCCTGTATGTTAGAATGTTGTTACTGATCCCCAGTACTATTGATTTTTGGCCTCTCTTCTCAAAGAGCCAGAAGCAACCCAGGCTGGAGGCTTGAGGTATCCTAGATAATTCACTGTGCACAGTGTTTCTCTCCTGACCTTCATTCTCAGGATGACCTTGGCAAGTGGTAACTCCTGCTTGTGAACTTCGGCAACACAGACACAAATGTAGGCGTCATAACACATTTGCCGCATAGATAACCCTTTCTTATTCTTCCAGAGATAGAATTCAGTGGCCAGAGTATTGTATCTTCTGAGAGAGTGTTTAGGTTGTTTAAAACAATCGTTCCACAAGTTTAAATAAAGTGCCTTTAATTTTAAATTTTGTTCAGTCATTTTTGAAATGCAAGCTTTTTCATGGATTTCAAATCTTTCAACACATGCTTAACTCTATTTCAAAGCCTATTAATGTGAGCAATTGCTAGACTCTCTATATAAGCAGCCTTCCGTATACTGAGATGTGTTTGAAGTACTTTGGACTTCCAGGAGTAATACAGCAATTGCTAGACTCTCTATATAAGCAGCCTTCCGTATACTGAGATATGTTTGAAGTACTTTGGATTTCCAGGAGTAATACAAGGGCTCTTATCTTCTTTACACTGGATTACAAGTTGAGAGGGAAAGACCAGGATTTTTAAAAATTTTATTCTTTAAAAGTTATGTGTCACTACTATATTTAAAATAGATAACTAATAAGCACCTACTGTATAGCACAGAGAACTCTACTCAGTACTCTGTAATGACTTATATGGGAAAAGAATCTAAAAAAGAATGGGTATATGTAGATGTATAACTGGTTCACTTTGCTGTACAACTGAAACTAACACATCGTAAATCAACTCTACCCCAATACAGATTAAAAAACAAAGTTATGTGTCGATTGAATTCAAGTTGCCTCCTGGTGAAGTGAGCTCAGGCCTTCCTCCCTGGCTGTAGAAACCAAACGCATGGGAGCAAGGACTCAAGTTGACACAGACAGATAAACAGACACAAGGACTGAGGGCACCAGAGAGGGAAAAACACGACTTCCCAGGGTGCCATGCTTCTTCCCCTTGTTGGTTCAGAGAACCAGGAAACTTGCCATGTTTCAGTAATAGGTGGATATGGGAGCATTCGGATCTTAAGTTGCCGAGAGCCTGGAAGGAAGGATGAGTCCTCTAGAGTCTGCTGGACGTATGTGCTCAGATGGGGGTCCAGGCTGAGCCCCAGAGCAGGACTGCAGGTTCTGTGCGCAGTCAGGGGTCCAGGGCTGATACTGATGGTAGAAAATACAGCAAATGAGAGTAAACTTTTGGAAAATTTATAAGAATTTGATGAAGGAATTTAATGTTAAGAAGATTGGAACATATGTTTTGTCAAATTTTTTTTGTTATTTGTTTCTCTTAATAATTTATTGATGTGATATTTTGCAAAACTAGGCCTTGTGACCAATTAGAAATTTAAAAGTAAAACCTGTACCACACATAGTTTGCAAGGCTTCTGCTTTAGAGAAAACTTAGTATCTGGGATCTGCCAGCAGGGGAACCCGTCCCACTCGGGCGTCACTCAAGGGGCTGGACCCAGAGAGCTCTGGTGCAGGGCCACAGAAGCAGCATGGAGTCTGAGAGGCAGGACCAGTGGGGGCGCTGGAGCGCGCAGCAGCCTGCAGCTCGCTGCTTCTCAAGCTTCGGTCTCACGGGGCAGTTGTTGTGGGCTGGGAAGTGGGCGACGAAACTCGGTTCCTCACTTCTGGGGTCTTGCTCCTTGATGCTCCTGATGCGCCATTTGCAGCCCAGCTCAGTGCAGGTGTCACCAGTCGCTCTCTGTGTCCTCCGTTGGTGGAGTGGAGGTCCATAGTCACATGGGGCCGCTCTGCTTTGAAGAGCGCAGTAAGTGCAAGCCTCACAGCTTCCCAGGGCACACAATTACAAAGGGGGAAAAAAGAGATGCTTATTCTAAAAAAGAGCAAACACGTAATGTCTGCAGCTGTCACTGCTGAGCTGTACGTACCCTGGCATCTTCTGTCTTCCTGGGCGTTCCGTGGAGGAGGCTTTTGGTGGTGTGCTGAGATGTGTGGTGCACAGCTGTCATTGTTATGTAGACCCGAGATCACCTCGGTCACATTTACTCCACAGGTACTGCCTTAGGACTCACTAAATTCCACACATTACATTAATGTGACATCAAAGAGTTTTTGTATAATTATTAGGGTTAATGCTGCAGTGGTTGTTGATTTCAGTGAGTATTATGGATATATCATTCTCACCTTAATTGTGTTTCTCACCTTCAAATTTTGTGAAAATTAGAAATATAAATTATGCACAGCAGCAGTTCTAGAGGCGGACTTCCATGGTTTTTAATTTGACATTCCAGAGATGAATGCCTCTGATCTGAGCCTTTGTAATGTATAGATCGTTCTAGGGGTATTTTACTGTTCTTTTATCTTAAGTTTGATAGACCGCAAAATTATCATTTCTTCTTAACATGTACAATTAGAAAACCAAACTTTCAGGAGACAGGAATAAAAGAGACATAACATATAAATTCAAAATCAAATATTGTCTTTATAATACTCCTCTTACTGTTTTCATTGTCTGGGTCCTGAAATGTGAGCAGAGGCTCTTGTGCCTGGTTGTACTGCATCTTTACAGTGAAAGGATGATCTCAGACTCTTGTTCTGTTAAACAAACCCCCCCCCCCCCCCCCGACCGGTACCATCTTGTTTGGGATCGCATGAATTGATCAGTTAGAATGTAAGCTCTCTTAATGTAGCTTCAGTGTTAGAGTTACCATTTTAATAGGCATTAATGAGTGAACAGTGTCACGCTCTCTATTGCCAGTGAAAAGAATATTAGTACATTTTTTAATGTTTTGTGTAGGTAAATTAGTATCACTTAAGAAATCATTTGAGTTTTTCAAAGTTTATTTTTAAAGTTGAGATTAGATTTTCTAGAACTACTGAAATTAAATATGCTGTTGGATAAATCTGTATAAAATCAAATGGTGTCATAATATTTTCCATCAAAACGATTAATTAGCAAGTGTTACTTCTGTGCATATCCTTCAAGTTTATCTGTAAGGACCACTTTTGTGTTTTGCAGGTACTATAATAGGTGTTGTCATTTATACTGGAAAAGAGACTCGAAGTGTAATGAACACATCCAATCCAAAAAGTAAGGTAGGCCATAGCTGGGGGGCCGACTGCCTGACCGAACTCACCTCCTCCTCTCAGTGAGAGAGCACGTGTAGTTCTGAGTAGCTTGTTTGCGAAACAGAGCTTCAAAATGTTGGTGATTCAGGATATGAATTCTCTGTGTTTGTGTAACAGCATGCTCGTGTAGAAGAATTTTCAAAACTATTTTTTCTTGGTTAATCAGAGTTTTATATGTCTCTTAAATTTTCATTGTTGTATATATAATTTGCCCATAATTTAACAGTTAATTGTGGGTCTTTTAATTTCTCCTCAAGCTATTTATTTTATAATTTGCACTCTATTTTTATGTTGATGATTCTTTTTTAAAATAAAGGAATCTGTATTAATGTTTTTATGGTATGTAATTTGACAGTGTTTTATTGTTAAACCAGTTTTATTTGTTATTTCCATTTCAGAAGAAGCATATTGAAAACCAGATTTTAGTTTTTAGACTGCTTGATTATATTCCTAAATTAATTATATTCCTGTTACAGTCCTAAAATTGTTACTTATGCAGTCATCGTGTGTGTAAGTTAAATCATAACGAAAGGTTAGTTTGAATTCTCAGTAGTTATGATTTGAACAACACATTTTGTATCAGGTCATAATATGTGTTAATATCTACTGAATGAGAAGCTCTTTCTAACTGTGCATTTTACTTACTTTTCTTTGAAATATAATCTGTGTGTATCTAAGTAGAACAAAAAAATCCTCTCATGGAGTCACACCTTGCTTTGTGAGTAATTCATAGGACAGGTTGTCTTCTGCAGGAAATTTTATAACAAAGCAATAGAAATGAAATAATTCTTTGAAAGATATCTTTTAGGGCAAGATGTGTTTCATTTTTTCAGCTAAATACCATTTTAAAAAATAGTTAACCCTTCAGAAACTAGGGACGCATCACTGACGCTGTGAATGCCTGGACCTGCGTGCAGTGCAGCCGACTGTGCTTCCCGTGTGGAGCGCATCCCCAGCTGCCTCCCAGGGTTGCATCTGGTGACACTTTATATTCATGTATTTGTTAGGGCTCCAGATGTCTGTGGGTGACATGTTTACAGAAGTCAAAGAAAAATGTTGTGCTACTATTATTTTAGTATAAATTCTGATTTTGATAATGGGGGAAATATTCTCTGTCGATTTATATATATATATATAAAACTTGGCTTTAATTTGAGTAAATCAAATATACCCAAGTCAGTAATTCTACAGTAGAGTTAAATTATTTAAAAATAAATTACTAAACTAATGGCAAGAGTTAGGATCGCATACATAGTTATGTGTGTTTTCTGGCAAGTATGGTGTTTTTCTTTAGTAAGCAAAACTTGGACGTCTAGTAACACATATATGATTTCTGGGGGGTTTTTCCTTAATCATTTTACTTTTACACTTATGATGGTATTTGAGGGTAAATTTAATTTTAACTATTAAGGTTAAAATCTGAAAACTTTGTAATCCAACTTCTTTTCTTGTTCTCCCTTTCCCTTCTGTGCCGCTCACTTGCTGTCACTTTCTCACCGTCTGTCTACACACAGCCACTTCTTTCCTCCGGGCACCTTCGGTTTTGGCTCACGTGCTTGTTCCCTTGGGTGTTGATCCAGAGTTACTTAGGTGACCTTTCCCAGGTTTCTGACCGCAGTGAAGAACTCTGGCGCTGGAGGTTGACCAGCCTGGGTTAGAGTCTGGGTGTTGCACTGACCAGCTCTTTGACTGTGGGCAAGCGGCTTAATTCTGTGCCTTATTACTCGGTAAATGCTACCTATCACCGTTACCTTTCTACAAAGTGAAATGTGAAATATGAATGAGTGCCGTGGTTTTTCAACCCCACCCTCGTTGTCAGTCAAGACATGCTCCCTGAGCAGTGCCCAGGCCCTGAGCGGCTTCAGAGCTGCCCGCCTTTCAGGCCCTCCCCTCCGCCCTCCCCCCTGCCCTCCCCTCCACCCTCCCCTCCGCCCGCCCCCCTGCCCTCCCCTCCGCCCTCCTGCACCCCCTCTTCCTCCTCGTCCTCTCAGCCTCCCTTCCTCCTTCCCGGTTTAGACAGCCTTCCCAGTTTCCTTGGCGTTAGCAAAATCTCTCTTACAACAGGAAGAACTCCTTTGGCGTCTTGCAGGATTGGGCTCGGATCTTCGCTCTGCCGCTTGACAGCCTCACGTGGGGAGCAGACGTGCTCTTTCTGGGGCCGAACCTTTCTGGGGCTTGATCAGCGTTTGCTGCTCCCCTTCTGGTTGAAAGCCCTACGGAAGCTCTCACACAAGCAGGCACTGATCTGAGCACTTTATGTCCATTGTGCCGTGAGTCTGCATGGCAGCCCCCGGAGGAGCCGGAGCCAGCTGCTTTCAGAGCAGGGCGACTGCAGCTCAGGGGGCAGCCTCGTCTGCATGGGGCTGCCGCTCCCTCAGGGCACTGCGGGTGGCAGAGCTCCAGCCTGAAAACCTTCTTGTAAATCAAGGGATCATCTTAGGAGAGAGAGAAAATCTCTCAATGCGCATATGTCATTAAATCTTCCTAAGTGTTAAACGCCGGATTTATAAGAGCAAAATTCAGGAAAAGGTTGCAAGCATGCTACAGTGGACAAAAAGCAGCAGATGTAATTTATCTAGGGCAAGTATTGATATGTGCTGAAAGAAAAGAATGCGTGATGTTTGAATCCTAAACAGAGGGAAGACAGAAATTATGTTCACTGTTTGTAAGACGTTATTATCTGCAGACGACATCTCAGTGTTCTTCTGTAGCTTACTAAACCAGCAAACTTCTGGATTTCACAGAAGGCTAGTGGAAACAAAAAGCAAACATTTAAAATGCTTTGAATCATTTGCCTGAGTTTCATTGGATTTCTTTGGGGAAGCCACACTGTTCCTAACCCTCCATTCTGAGCGCTGCCCTATGCGTGGAATGCCTGTGGGGATAGAGTGTCAGGTGAAACAGCCCTGGAAGCACAGTGGCGCACACACCAGAGGTTCCTTCTCTCCTCGTGTACATGTCTGAGATGTGGGCAGGCGCTCTGCTTGGCACCATTCCGCGGGGGCCCCTCCTGGAAGCACGCCTTGGTGACCGTGGGGATAAGAAGAAACTGGCGTGGCAGGTTACACACGCCTCCGCGCTCAGCGGTGTGGGCGTGTTTCCTTGGCCAGAGCACTTGAATGGCTTCACCGAAGTTGGAGGAATTAGGGACGTACAGTCCTACCCCAGCCGTGGAGGAGGGAGAATTGGGGATGTTTAATGACAAGCACTGCTGACCACCCGCAGTGCGCTTATGGGTGAGAATTTCCAGCCTTTCACAGAGAGTTAAAACACAAGGAGCAACCTCGTAGAGCCCTAAAAGTGCCAGCAGCTAGGGTGAAGCAGGGAAGGGTAGCCAGGGAGGAAGGCTGAGAGGACAGCACTTGCAGAGTGGCCGGCAGTTGGCAGCGGGCCATGTGGCGGAGGCCCCGGAGGTGAAGGGCTGAAGGGTCCGCGGACTAAGCACATAGAAGTCGTGGTGAAGTGAAAAGCTCGGGTGGAGGGCAGATGCAGGGGCAGGTAGAAGCCTCCGAAGGAGGGCTCTCGGCCATGGCTGAGCAGGGGAGGCCGGACACGCTTTGAGGCAGGGCCCAGAGCACCAGAGAAGCCGTGGTGGTAAGAACTGATTGATGCTGCCCTGGGGAAAGGATTTTATTGATTTTGTTTCTGGTGAGAAAACCAATATCAAAAAACTACTGATGCTTCCAGTAAAAGAAGAGAGGGTCTTAGTTTATAAAGAGGAAAAATATTCTTTGGAAGAATAAGTTTCATAGGCATCTAATAGTAACTTAAATATATAAATACAAAATTACTTAAAAGGGAAATTATATACTGTTATATGGAAAACAGCTACCATAGAAAATATGATGTGGCCTCTTTGATTTTGCAGAAAATATTTACGCTCACAGACGTAGAAAACTTACAGTTACCAAGGGGAACGAGGGGAGGGGAGGGATAAAGTAGGCGTTTGGGATTGACATACATACACTACTGTGTATAAAATAGAGAACCAACAAGGACCTACTGTATCGCACAGGGGGCTATACTCAATATTTTGTAATAACCTATAAGGGAAAAGAACCTGAAAAACAATAGATATATGTGTATAACTGAATCACTGTGCTGTACACCTAAAACTAACACGAAATTGTAAATCAACTATACTTCAAAAAAATAAATTAAGAAAAATAAGAATAAAGAAAGAAAAGATTTACAGTCATCTGTTAATCAGCCAGTATCTTCCCCCCCCCCACCCGCCCTTACTCCATATTTCACTATGGGGTATACAGCAGCATCATGCAGATCTGTAAATTGCTGTAAGTTCCTAGGATGGAAAACGCTACAGTTAAAGCAGTGCTAATTTAAGGGAAAAAAAGTTAGTGATAATAACAATAATTGATGTAGTGAAATTAATGCAGAACATGGTAAGAATTTGAGACAGTTCCTAAAAGCATTGAGAAAGATTATAGCCTAGCAATTTAGGCTCATAAACTATTGGGCAGTGTTAGGGCCCCAGCTGAATCTTAAATTTCTCATGGAGCCAGTAATGAGTATGTGGCTTTCTCAGGCTGCTGTTCAGGAGCCCCCAGGCAGAAGTGAAGAAATGGCTGGTCTAAAGTTCCAGGTTGTGGGGTGGGAGGGTCAGAGGAACTGCCCACAGATGCCCCCGGGAGACACAGGGGCCCTGCAGGTTATGCCACTGGACTTCATAGCGTTCTTAGTACTCACGCCCGCTCGCAGGGCCCCCTTCCCCTGTCCTGCGCACAAGTTCGCATCTTTGGTGGCGGCTGTTCCGAAGAGCCGTCTCCCTCTGACATTACCACGGCCGCCTCTGCTGCCCTAGGAACGTGAGTGTCACTTCCCTGTTGAGGCTGGGGCTACTTGTGGACCAGCCTGGGCACGTTGTAAAATGTCGTCCTTGGGTTGAGCAGATGGCTGTTAGCTAAGTTGACCAGTTTGTATTGGTTGTTTCATAAAATGTATCTTAA